AAGAGGGAGGGGAGGGGGCTGAGTGGCCTCCCGAACAAAGGAAAACATGGAGTCTGAAATACATCCTCCTGTTAGCTACATTTTCCTCGTTTTTATCGTGACAAGGTTTTAATCAGTGGTAAAAGTTTTTCTCACGTCAAACGACACTTTACATTTTATCCTTAAATACGTCAGTAATGGAAAACATTACAATTTGCTTACATGAATAATGTATCACTAGTCACAGCAAGATTTTTTTTTTTTTCTTTCGTAATACCTCTGTAACTATTGAAACATTACATCACAATACAAGAGAAAAACTCCCAGACTGATCTTTTGTCATTTCTTCACATGAAAACTCGTATTTACAGCCAAGTGGCTCTCTTTTTTCTCATTAATCAGATCATTATCATCAGAATCCACATTTTAAATACTTGGCTTTTTTTCTGTTTAAATGTACCCTTTTTCCCGCCCCCCGGGGGATATAGAGGTTTTATTATCCTATAACTTCTGACCCTAAAGCTGTCCCTATTTCTCTAATTCTATTCCTATCTTTTCACTAATACACTTGTGCCTCTCTGCACTTTAAAACGGTGTGCCTCTTCTGCACTTCTAAACTCTGTGGACCTCTCATCTATGTTCTGTTTATTTTAGGAGGGACCAATTCTTCCCCCAAGGCTAAAAACGTCTAAACCTGACTATTGTTCTATCGCGTCCGATAGAACACCCGTCACGGCGGTCTGTCCACAACTGCAGTCTGGTGTTGGGCCGAGATCTCTCTGTCTTCTATTAAAAACAATGTGCAGATTCTCAAAAATATGATCCGCTTACCTTATAGAAGCGTTTTGCAGAGTAGAGAGTCCGTAAAACCAACACCAACCCAGTTTTTCTCTATCTGAGCTCATCTTGCGTCTTCTTTCTGTATCAAATCACGTCGAGGGGTCACCATTTGTTGTCAAAAAAGATTTGACTGACGTGTTCAGAGTTTGATACAGAAATAAGGCCAAGACTGCAAGAGTTAAAAATAGAACATTTATTCCTCTTTATAATTAAATATTGATACAAAACTCTTTGAGCTCTTAATTTCCCTAAATCTAACCCTATGCTGAGCCATTCTAAACTGTCCCTCAAGGCCTGAAAATGTGCAGAGAATCATGCAGGCGCTCTGCCATGTTCTCTGTCTAACTGTCCCTGCTCAGACTGCCCAGAAAAGTCCTACCCCCAGTTTTATCAACATGTCCGATGACGTCACATGGTCTGAGACTGGTCTCCGGTCTGGTCTCTGGTCTGGTCTCTGGTCTGGTCTCTGGTCTGGTCTCTGGTCTGGTCTCTGGTCTGGTTTTGTAAGCTGGTCATTTTTATGACTGATTGTAGTTTCTCCATTTGACCCTCTTTATTCCTGTTTGCAATCCTTGTGTCCTTGGGGCTTTTCCCAGTGCACATTCTTCAGAGGGCCTGTTTTCAAAATCATTAGTAGACAACATTTTAATTCTACAACAGTTGCCAAATCCCAGCAAGTCCGCAAGAATACCCAAAAATAAAACACTCAGAATGAGTGTTTTTTATGTTGATTACATAAAAACGTAATGTAATCAACTTGGGCTATCATGATTCTGTTTATTGTCTTTGTTTATTTAATACCTACAAGTCTCTTGGAAAACAATATGCGGGAACCACCAAACCTGCTGCATAGTGTGTAAACAGGAACACTGAACCAGTGCTTCAACCAAACTTTACTTGACTCTTAAAACACACATATATCAACATAGAACCATCAACATCTCGCCTCAAATTGCATTAAAAGTGACATCCGTGTCTTAATTCGATCGTATTTACTCTTTTAAAAAGATTCGCTGACTTTACGTCCGCCATCTTGGATTCCTCCCGCTGCTACATGAGAGAAGCTGTGCAAACCCCACGTAACACCGGCAATCCTGATTGGTCGATTAAAAAATAATCTGGGGAAGGCGTTCGCTATGGCATCGATACCAGACCCATGTGGTTCAGCCAAACGCCTCTGGTGGAGCATGGCGGAACTACAAGGGTCTGGCAGAGCCAGGCTACTAGTTACAGCCAACTTCACAAATTATAAATCCATAAAGCAGACAATATGTGATACAAGTGACATTAGGGCTGGGTGCATTCACATTACACTTTGACTTGTCTATCCAATGATTGGTTTGTGTAGCTACTACTATGACGACGACTTAGTGATGGGCATATGAAGCCCCGTAACACACTGAGCCTCTGTGGTAGCTCAGACATGCTTGTAACAATGACATCTAGTGGACAAATGTTATCATTGCAGCTTCCGAATAGCAGAAGTTGATTCATTGTCTCAAATGTGGTTTCAATGTCAAACTGCTTCATCTTCTCACATAACAAGACTGTTACCACTACTACTACTACTGCTGCTGCTACTACTACTACTAGTACTGTTGCTCCTACTACTACTGCTACTACTACTACTGCTACTAATACTGCTACTAATACAACTGCTACTACTGCTGGTGCTACTACTACTACTAGTACTACTGCTGCTGCTACTGCTATACTGCTGCTACTAGTACTACTACTACTACTACTACTGCTCCTGCTACTACTGCTACTACTACTGCTGCTACTACTGCTACCACTACTGCTGCTACTACTATTGCTACTACTACTGTTACTACTGCTGCTACTGCTGCTGCTACTACTACTACTACTGCTACTACTACTACTACTGTTACTGCTACTACTACTGCTGCTGCTGCTGCTGCTGCTGCTACTACTACTACTACTGCTACTGCTACTACTACTGCTGCTACTACAGCTACTACTGCTACTATTACTACTACTACTTCTACTACCACTACTACTGTTACTGCTACTACTACTACTGTTACTACTGCTACTACTACTACTACTACTACTACTACTACTACGCACTGTTGAGTCCTGGTCCGTGCTGGGGTCTATCTCTCTGGTCCAGCTTGTGGAGGTAGATCTCAGCCCTATTCAAATGTATTCTTGCACGTTTTGATTTAATGCGTTGCAGATACACCTTCTTCTTCTCTAAGAGCCGTCTTCCACTTTGTATGCTACGCTAATAAATATGTTACACACATTATCGTCAAAACCACTGAAAAATGACCTTTGTATTCTAGGCCATTCCGATCCTGAGGTATTTCAGGAGCCTTTTAGTTTGGTGTCCTTGTGTCTCCTGGTATTTCTCCTTCAGTGTATAGTACCCACTCAGATAATGAATGCAGGAAGTGTGTTGCGTATGTGTTTAGCGGCGCCTGGAGACCGGTGTCGGCCGATGCTCTCTTAATTATTCATTTGACGGAATGCGCTGGCCGTTTGATCACTCTCGCACATCTGTATGATTCACATTTAACAGGAAGCTCAGGAGACCCTCGCTCATGGTCGTTGTCTTCTGCCTTTTATTTCTCAAAATGAAATGGAGTAAGGAAGACGATCGCATGGTTCCACCAGGACACAGTTAAAGATGAAGAAATCCTATATTCGTCCCACAGTGGGGAAATTTCAGAGTTGCATCACAAGTTCTAGAACAGTAGGAAAGAGGAGCACACAGCACAATATATAATTACAATAGCTATACTATTAAATCAAAGAACAAGTATAAAATCTCTATCTTGAAAATAATAATTATAAAGTTTTACATTTGGCAAAATAAGAGTATAAAGTACTGTTTTTTTCTATTGCAAGCAGTATGTGGTTATATGTTAGCATCTGGCAGCAGTATGTTTACATCTGTACAATAGCAGCAGTATGTTTTTATCTGTACATTAGCAGCTGCATTAGCCTCTGTACATTAGCATTAGCCTCCGTACATTAGCATTAGCATTAGCCTTTGTACATTAACATTAGCCTCTGTACATTGCAACAGGAACTCGGAAGTATGAGCATATCTCTCCGTCCTGTCATCCCTTCATTGGCTCCTGTTCGCTACCAGATTGGTTTTAAAGTCCTTTTGTCCATCTATAAATGCCTGAATGGCCTTGCTCCGCGTTATCTGTCTGACCTACTGACGTCACACGCTCCATCACGTTCTCTCAGGTCAGATCAGGCTCTGCTCTGGGTTCTTCCGACTAAACGGAAACTCAGAGGAGATCGAGCTTTTTCGGTTGTTGGTCCTAAATGATGGAATGAGCTGCCCCTGTGTGCTAGACAGTCTGAGTCACTTCCTGTTTTTAAGTCTCATCTTAAAACTCACTTGTTCTCATTGGCTTTTAATTGATTTTCAATTGATTTGTATTAATTTTTTTGCTGTAAATAGTGATTTTTGCCGCTGTTTTGTATTTTATAATTGTATATTTGTGTATGTATTTTTATGCACAGCACTTTGGTCAACCTTGTTATTTTTATTAGTGTTTTATAAATAAACTGGACTAGATTGGATTGGATTAGCATTAGCATTAGCCTTTGTGACACAATTACTTAATGACAGTGACATGTGGTCATTGCACATTGTTATAGTTGCCGTGACGATTCCATTTTACAATAGACCGTAGTATAAGCTACAGCCGAATGCTCATCTATGATTTGGTAGTTGCTCTGTGTGCGTCACTTGGTCTCTCGCATAAAGAGAAATTGATAATAACTTTTTCTTTTTCAACGCTCAGCTCTTCTTAGTTGCTGTAATTGCCAAGTTTCGAAATGCGCCTCATGCATTCACTAAACTATTTAATGATCTGCCAGTCTTACGCTATCTCCAACAATTCTGGTTGTTTATTTAGTTTGCTGGTGAACTGTCAAACGGCGACGCTCGGCAGAGTAGAGCGGGAATGAGTTATAGCTGAAGATTAAAGGCGTGAGATGAGTTAGCGCGCTATTGTGTGACATTCTAAAGCTGCGGCGGAGTGTTGTGTGGATGCGGCCATTGGAAAAGGGCTGTCCTTTCAGAAATGTAATTACACCCTTTAATTCGCGTCCGGAGAAGAGGCTGACGGGGCTCTGTGCATTCATCTTATGGCTAATGTCGTTTTTTTTTTTATTTCCCTCTCGTTCTGCAGCAGCACCTCGCTTCACTAAAGTTCCTGTGGACCAGATCGGGGTCTCGGGGGGCGTGGTCTCCTTCGTGTGCCAAGCCACGGGCGACCCCAAGCCCAGGGTGAGCTGGAACAAGAAGGGCAAGAAGGTCAACTCCCAGCGCATTGAGGTGAGTGCGCACCTGCTGCTGTGTACAGAGACAAGATTATATATATATATATATATATATATATATATATATATATATATATATATATAAATATATATATATATATATACACACATATTATATTTATATATATATATATACACACATATTATATTTTTATAACAAGTTTCCGAAGAGCTGCAGAGAGATAAAAGTGACAGATTTAAATATATACAGGTTTGCCAGCTTTATATGTGTCGAAATAGAGTAAGTAAAACAGTAAAAATGGAATAAAAACAATAAAATACCAGTTGTTCAATACAAAAAGTACAATAAAAACAATAAAACAGATAAAACAAAAAACATATAACTCCTGCGGTGTTAAAAGCCAGAGTAAAAGATAAGCTTAACTTTTTTTATTTTTTTTTTTATTTCACAATAATTTTCGGAGTATGTCTTTATAAGTTACACTCTACCTACATTTCTATTACTGTGACACATCTAGTAAATATGTTAAAAATAATCATAACTTCACACTGTCATGCAACTAACTTGGGCTGCACAGTGGCAGAGTGGTTAGCACTCTCGCTTCTAAATCTCGGTCGGAACAGGACCTTTATAATAATAATAATAGTAATAATAACACATTCAGATTCAGATTCATTTATTTGCCATTTGCAGTAAAACCACATTGGAAAAACTGTGCAAGACTACCCCAGTGTGCACCAGACGACACACACCAGAGCTCTTGCCACGGCGCCATGCGACAAGAGACACGCGCTTATTTGATTTCTTAAGCGCCTTTTTAGACCTTCAAAGTCGTCTTACATCACAAGTAAAAAGTATATTAAGTTAAAATATAGTTAAAAGCAGCATGAACAAAGTGGAGTTTCTGAGTGGAGTTTGCATGTTTCTGTGTCTGTGTAGGTTTCCTCCGGGTGCTCCGGTTTCCCCTACCACTAATAAAACAGATCTGACATCTGCTTTCTGTAGACAACTGCTCCATCTCTGTGTGGAGTGAGAGACAAAAACCCACAACAACTTAAGTGCTTTGTGACTCTGGTCTGTAGAAGGCGCTATATAAATAACCATTACTTATATCATGGGAAAGCTCATAATCTCTGATGATTGGCACAGTGGAGCATGGAAATTCCAAAAATCGGTCAATATTTTATTCTGAATTTTCAATTGCTCTATTCAATAACTTACAAAATCAATCAAAATCAATATGAAATACATTTGATAATGATTTGTTTTTGCGTTTTTATTTTTATTTTCACATAGTTATTGCCATCCTCTCTGAACCTCCTCATGTGATGTTTGTTATGGACGACTCTGCCAGCTTCCCAGACGGCATCTCCAAAAAGTCTTGATGGATGCTTAGTGTCTTGTAATTAAAAGAGTTGCTTTCATTAACCACCACACAACGGCTCGGAGAGACAGACATGATCGCACCGACACGCTGCGCAGTGGGTACACAAATAAAAGCAACGGGGCTAAGAAAGCATAAACAGTGGAAGTGACAACAGCGCCAAGAGACACGTCGCATTTCAGCAGAGGGCAAAATAAAAAAGACAGTCTGTGTTTGTACACTTTTTACTGCTGCATGCTAAGTGAAAAACAAAGCCACGGGCGGAAAAAGGGATCCTGCCAGAACGGACGCTTTCCTTCCTCCATTTAACCAAAATAAAAATTAGCAAGGGGACTTTTTGAAGTAGCTAGCGCCTCTCCGCAGCACTAGCCTCTAGACAGCGGCTTTGATATTGATCACGATGCTGCGCTCCACAGTGTTTTTAGTCTAATTAGCAGCACAGCCCTGAGACTGGAAGCAGCAGGGGCCTCTCCAGACTTGAGCGTTTCTCTCAAAAGTTAGTCTTTGAGAGGGGAGAACATCGGGCAATCCTTCTGTTGTCGAGGGCTCTTAGTAGATGAAAGAGGGTTGGGTCTCTGAGTCCACTGACCAAATAACATGTGTCTTCTGGGTTTCTTGAAGTCCAAAGTCAAGGATTGGTCTTTGAAAATGTTAGTGTGTAATGTAAATAACTTAATGCAAACAATAAATACATCAGAAGTAGGTAATAAGCTGTAACAAGTCCTACTACGAACAGGTTCATTGAGTAATCACAAATAAACATTTATTGAAAGAGTTATTACTATACCTGGATTTAAACATTATGAGCAGAGGTATGACTCAAAATGAGCGGTAATCACTGCAAATGTGTGAAAAATTCACTCCACTCTCACTCCAATCTCACTCCTTGTCTGTGGGGGTGTACCCAGAAAGAGAATTACCCAATGCGTTTGTATGGCGGCTTCTTTCCTCTCGAAAATGTCTTTACATGTTGGTTCAAAAGTGGGTCTTGGTCCAAAAGTGGCTCTTGGTCCTCTTGGTTCCAGATGCTGTCAATGTTGGAGGTGTATTTTGTTGGACCAGTCTAGTTTAGCCGCTGTGGACTTTTGAATGCACTTGGTAAATGAATGGGACTAGGACAGCTAACACAAAGCCACAGAAGGAAAAAGTGATGTCTAAAAGTAACTATGGGACTAAAAGGCACCAGCAGCAGAGGTGGAGCAGCCGCTGGGTGTAATTGACGGGTTATTCATGTAATAAGACTTGTACAGGCTGTTATTAACCCAGAACACCAATGGGTTTTTTAAATTAGAGAGATTTTTTGAAATTTAAGGTGAAACAGACAAAAGGTGAGGTCGTGGAACTGAACAAGATGGAGGACCACTCAAATGAGACTAAAAAGGAATAAAAGAAAGTAAATCTTTTGTGTTACATTGGGCATCACTACAGTAAATACAAAATACATTTACTGTATATTAAAATTGAGCATATTTAAGGCAAGGCAAGTTTATTTGTATAGTACAATTCATACGCAAGGCAACTCAAAGTGCTGAACAAAATAAGATACCATTAAAATCTTAAGTAATCACAGTACATTAAAGAGAAAGTAAAAAATTGAAATCTAAAGATAGACATTCGCTGTCCATGTCTATTTCAAAATGGCCGCGGAGAAAATGTGAAATAAACCCACATTTGCGCATGTGTTAGCTGCACTAGCCCCATTCATTTAACGCCTGCATTCAAAAGTCCACAGCGGCTAAACTAGACTGGTCCAAAACAAATACACTCCCCTCAACATCGACAGCATCTGGAACATAGCGTTGGACCAAGACCCACTTTTGGACCAAGACCCACTTTTGGACCAAGACCCACTTTTGGACCAAGAGCCACTTTTGGACCAAGAACCACTTTTGGACCATCCTGTAAAGACATTTTCAAGAGGAAAGAAGACGCCATACAAAATCATTGGGTAATTCTCTTTCCGGGTACACCTCCACCGGGGGGAGTGAGATTGCAGCATTTCAGGGCACGTGCTTATAGACTTTTTGGGGCTGAGACCCGCCCCCACTGCATGAAACACATGACTCCAACTAATATTTACCTCAAACGTCTTAGTTAGAGCCTTGTGTTTGTCCTGTTTAAGATTCTGGCCCCACAACCAAACCAGTTGAACATAAAGAGAATATTATTCGTGTGCTTAAATGTAATGATTAGCCCGAGTGCTTTCAGTGGCGCAGCCCTGCTCAAAATTCAGCCCATGTTCCAACTTCTGAGGCCAGGCTTGTTTTGTTTATAAGAAGCGCTAGCAACAAGGTTCAACACAAAGGCCTCTGTAGAGAACAAAGGGCATAATTACAGATAAAAACAAGATAAAGCACAGAAAAGGCCAATGCATCATCCAGATATGGCAAAGCAAAGATAGCCCGGCAAAAAATTACAGTTGTGAAGGCATTGCTGTGTAGAGTTTGTTTTTGAGATAAGATAAGATAGATTTTAGAGATCTGTGATGGAGAAATGTACATGTCACATTTGACACAGATAGAATAGATAGTGTGCAATATGTTAAGCTTAATATAGTCTGTTCTGGATATAATTATGTACAATAAAAAGTAGCAATAGCAGCTGGTTTTTCAGTCCTAGTGCAGATAATTATGGACCTAAGTCACGTATGATCTGCACAAAAATATCAATAGAGGAAGAAGTAACAGGAAAGGGCTATTTAATAACTATTGTGGTATTGGAAGTACGTCAACAGTGTGTTTTGCTTCAATTAGAATCAGAAAATGTGTCTTTGTTGCTACTTTTTCACCAAATAAATGTTGAATAAAAAAGTACAAATCCTCCTATATACCTTTAATAATCATTGTTATACAGTGTACAAGTATTCGGCCCCCTTGAACCTTTCAACATTTCGCCACATTTCAGGCTTCAAACATAAAGATATAAAAATTAAATTTTTTGTCAAGAATCAACAACAAGTGGGACACAATCGTGAAGTGGAATGAAATTTATTGGATAATTTAAACTTTTTTAACAAATAAAAAACTGAAAAGTGGGGCGTGCAATATTATTTGGCCCCTTTGCGCTAATACTTTGTAGCGCCACCTTTTGCTGCAATTACAGCTGCAAGTCGCTTGGGGTATGCCTCTATCAGTTTTGCACTTCGAGAGACTGGAATTATTGCCCATTCTTCCTTGCAAAACAGCTCGAGCTCAGTGAGGTTGAATGGAGAGCGTTTGTGAACAGCAGTCTTCAGCTCTTTCCACAGATTCTCGTTTGGATTCAGGTCTGGACTTTGACTTGGCCATTCTAACACCTGGATAAGTCTATTTGTGAACCATTCCATTGTAGATTTGGCTTTATGTTTTGGATCATTGTCCTGTTGGAAGATAAATCTCCGTCCCAGTCTCAGGTCTTTTGCAGACTCCAACAGGTTTTCTTCCAGAATGGTCCTGTATTTGGCTCCATCCATCTTCCCATCAATTTAGCCATCTTCCCAGTCCCTGCTGAAGAAAAGCAGGCCCAAACCATGATGCTGCCACCACCATGTTTGACAGTGGGGATTGTGTGTTCAGGGTGATGAGCTGTGTTGCTTTTACGCCAAACATATCGTTTTGCATTGTGGCCAAAAAGTTCGATTTTGGTTTCATCTGACCAGAGCACCTTCTTCCACATGTTTGGTGTGTCTCCCAGGTGGCTTGTGGCAAACTTTAAACAATACTTTTTATGGATATCTTTGAGAAATGGCTTTCTTCTTGCCACTCTTCCATAAAGGCCAGATTTGTGCAGTGCACGACTGATTGTTGTCCTTTGGACAGACTCTCCCACCTCAGCTGTAGTTATCTGCCGTTCATCCAGAGTGATCATGGGCCTCTTGGCTGCATCTCTGATCAGTCTTGTCCTTGTTTGAGATGAAAGTTTGGAGGGACGGCCGGGTCTTGGTAGATTTGCAGTGGTCTGATACTCCTTCCATTTCAATATAATTGCTTGCACAGTGCTCCTTGAGATGTTTAAAGCTTGGGAAATCTTTTTGTATCCAAATCCGGCTTTAAACTTCTCCACAACAGTATCTCGGACCTGCCTGGTGTGTTCCTTTGTCTTCATGGTTCTCTCTGCGCTTTAAACAGAACCCTGAGACTATCAAAGAGCAGGTGCATTTATACGGAGACTTGTTTACACCCAGGTGCATTCTATTTATCATCATCAGTCATTTAGGACAACATTGGATCATTCACAGATCCTCACTGAACTTCTGGAGTGAGTTTGCTGCCCTGAAAGTAAAGGGGCCGAATAATATTGCACGCCCCACTTTTCAGTTTTTTATTTGTTAAAAAAGTTTAAATTATCCATTAAATTTCGTTCCACTTCACGATTGTGTCCCACTTGTTGTTGATTCATGACAAAAAATTAAAATTTTATATTTTAATTTTTGAAGCCATAAATGTGGCAAAATGTCGCAAGGCACTGTACATATTGTTATACACACTGATTATTAAAGGTATAGTAGGAGGATTATCCCACTTTTTAGGAAAGAAATGCCCTCTCCACTTTAAAAAAAAAAAAACTCTCTGGGCTTATTTGACGAGCACATATCACCAGAATGATTGACAGTAAGGAGGACCAATGGGCTTAATGGTCCACCCGGAAGTCTTTTCCTTCTATATACCTTTTAAGGCATGCAAAAAGTAAAGTAATTTAGTAAAATAATAGCGTAATACACAAAATGAACACTGCAAAATTAGTTTTCATAATTAATTTCATGAAGTTAAATAATCTTTCTACTTGTACATTTAAATACACAGTTGTTTTTGTTACGTATTTGTTGAAAATACATTCAATGCAGCCAAAAGCTACCAACATGTCCTCCATGCTTTCCTATATCCATTGATTTTTCATTTCTTCCACAGACAATAGAGTTTGATGAAGGAGCCGGTGCCGTGTTGAGAATCCAGCCTCTCCGAGCGCCACGCGATGAGAACATCTACGAATGTGTGGCTGAGAACAGCGAGGGCGAAATCACTGTTAACGCCAAGCTGTCCATCATCCGAGGTGAGAACCGTGTTATGAAGCAACCGGTACAGAGCCTGCAGCCAAATCCATCATTCAGCTGGACTTCCACAGGCTCCGCTGGGTTCTCCAGACGACATTTCTATTGTGTTTTCATCTTCCTCCCAGTAGAGTCTGCGGTTAAAGGAGCAGTGTGTAAAACATTTGGCCAAAAGTGGTACTGCAGCCTCTCCCACTCTCCCTGACTCAGGTTGCCAGATATGCAGACGAATCCAGCTGGGACCATAACAGCTGAATAGACAAGAGTTTTGTCAGCAACAAATCTATAACCAACACCTTTTTCACAAAGATAGAAATCCTGGTTTTATTCCTTGTTTTGTCATTAATGATTTGAGAATCATAACGAGACCTTTTTAAGTTCTGCGCCACATGGTACTTTACCAGTGAGATTAGCTTAACGCGGAGAGTTCTGGCATCCGGATCAGGGACTTTTTGATTGGTGAAACAGTGGAGGGCGGGACATTGATCGAAGATTCAGAGCAGGGCTGTCAAACTCATTTTGGTTGAGGGCCGAATACTAAATGAAAGGGCTGGTCAGGGGCCGAAAGAAGAAGTGGGTTTCATTTATTATACTTTTTTATAATATGAAGGTATCTATGTAAATGACTTGTTTCACATTAGCTAGATTGGATACTCTTTTCTGATTAGACTTAGTTCAGTTCCTGTGGACTGAACCAAAACTGGACCAAATATTGAAGCTATAGAAGATTTTCTACTTCCGGGTGGATCATCTATTGGTCCTTCCAACTGTCAATCATTCTGGTGATACGTGCTCGTCAAATAAGACCAGAGAGTTTTGTTCAAAAAGTGGAGAAGGCGGTTCTTCAATGCTGCTATTTAATATAATAATTTAAATTCATCTCAAGGGCCACTGGAAATGGTCTCGCGGGCCGGATCTGGCCCCCGGGCCTTGACTTTGACACCTGTGATTTAGAGGCTGGAAAAATAATTTCGAAATTCAAATATCTCTGAACTACTGTTATCAGTTAAAGAAGTATTGGAAAAGAGCAGTTTATTATTATGACAGATTAGGCCCCTTTGATGATGACTGGACATGAAAATCTTACATATTGCTACTTTAATACTTATTTCTCTCACATTCTATCATTTATTTTTCATAGAGTAGTTTTAAATCAAGTGTCTATTCATGTCAGATCTGCAGACATATATTTAGTCCAGATGCAAATTGATTGGTGCATGAATAGATCAAATTGGTTGGTCCCTCTCACTATAGAAACCCATAATAGTCACTGATTTCATATTTCCATTTTTCAACCACTTTGGCTGTGTTTCAGGGGTCAATTTGTGCAACATTATCCCAAAGTACAAACACCTAGCATTTTTGTTGTTGTAAATACTACCTTTAGTTACTAGTACCCAACAGAAAAGTGTGAAAACTATGTGGGATAGAATGATAGAATAGTAGCTTCAAAAACACACAGTGGGCGTGGCTATATTGATTCTTATTGTACACTTAGCATTGAACAGCAGAGAAAATCTTTACCGACTATAAGGATGTTTTCAAGCTGCACACGGAGAAAGAGCACAATGTTGAATTGTTGTGGAACTCCACTTTGGGAACCACTGTATTATTGTTTTTTATTTACGGTTTTATAATTCACAAGATGTCGAAAATCAGTCTGATAGGGATGTGCATGTGTAGAAAGCCGACGTTGGATGTTCTGGTATCTTTTTTTGTCACATGGGGAAATGAAGAAAAAGAGAACCCCAAAATGGCTTGCAATCACCATCAACTTCCGGTTAATGAAGTGGTGTCAGAGCAACAAAAATGGCTGCTCTGCAGAAAATGTGCCAAGTATTTTCATGCTTTGTTGGATATTTCATGACACTTTGAAACTACTGTGGTTAAGTTCTCATCATTCTATCAAGGCACAGGGCAGTATTTTTTACACTACATGCTTTGGTTATCTACACAATCCTAGACTGTCATTTTCTTCACTTTAGATTTAAATTCTCGAGATCGATACATCAAAAAAGTGAAATTGTGTAACGGTATAGATCCTAATGCGTTATCCAAGAATGATTTCACTTGCGAGTTAGAAAAATATCCGCCGGTTCAGTTCCCGGATGTCTCAAACTATCTAGTGTTACAATCAAGCTTTTGACGTCAATTGCAAGCAAACAATAATGTCAAATAAAACCAGATCAAAATAATCCAGAAAGTCCACACAACCATGACATTATTTGAAGCTTTGTGACTGATGGATCCAGACATGAGCTATATTCCTTTCCTTCCTGTTGTTTCCTGAATATGCTTCGACTTCCACAGGCTCCAAACATCGTATTTCCTCTTTCCTCTTTTCTGTCTGTGTCATTATGTCTCTGGTGCTGGAGGCGGCTCTCTCGTTTTCACATCCACAGGCAGCAGACGGAGCGAAGGGTTGAGCCGCAGAGACTGTTTGTGAGAGAGCACCGTGGGGGGGCTTTGGACCGAACTGTGAAATCCTGAAAGCAGCGTTGGGAAGATGTAGTATAGTTACGAGGGCGGGGAAAACGAGATTTGATGTTCAAACATACGTCGAATATTAATGAAAAATAATGACATTCGAAAAAATATTAGACAGCGCTTAATATTGTAAGTAATCATTATTTATATAGCGCCTTTCACAGACCAGAGTCAAAGCGGTTTACAATTGTGGGCATTAGTCTCTCACTCCACACAGAGATACTGTGTATCTCCTGTGCCTCCTGTACAGTACAGGAGGCACAGACCTATTGTACATGTTTTTAGTGGTAGGGGAAACGGAGCACCCGGAGGAAACTTACACAGACACGGGGAGAACATGCAAACTCCAATCAGAAAGGCCCTGTTCTGACTGGGATTCGAACCCAGGACCTTCTTGCTGAGAAGCGAGAGTGCTAACCACTCAGCCACCATTATATTGGAATATAATAAAATAAATTATCCTGCTCCTTCTAAAAACAGCATTGATGATAGTGGACAAAAGAAAACAATAGTCGCTATTACTGTTCTATAGCCGCATTCTACGACAAACTACAACCAGCAAATTCAGCACAAACTCTTGACGTCACCGACACCGACCTACAACACCCACCTACCAAAGTTTACACATGGTAAGACCAGGCGTACATGTAGGAAATGATCATGGACCAGACACATGGTAACACATGGTAAGACCAGACGTACATGTAGGAAATGATCATGGACCAGACACATGGTAACACATGGTAAGACCAGACGTACATGTAGGAAATGATCATGGACCAGACACATGGTAACACATGGTAAGACCAGACGTACATGTAGGAAATGATCATGGACCAGACACATGGTAACACATGGTAAGACCAGGCTTAGACGCTCCTTGCTTTAATAGATAGAAGATCGATCTTCCTAGTTTCTTCATCTGAATCCAAGGCCGCTCATACAAGGACACGGTCTTTGGACTTGTACCAGAAATCTCTGCCTCTTCTCTCCTCTTTCTCTGACTTTGCCAACACCCCACAGCGAGCCGGAGACAACCCATGAATTTTAAACAAATACCAAATTTTAATGATAGCTGCATCTTTCCTTTTTGCCTTTTTCTGACTTCCCACAGCCCTCAGAGCGAAACACACATCTACCACAGTCACTTTCCTCCAGAGTCCGGAGACAGAGAGATCCTTTACATCAAGGAATGTGCATAAAGTTTGTCTTGAGCTGAGGAGATTTGTGCTTCACCAACTCTGTTTTTTTTAAGCCAATTGTTAGATTAATCTATTACAATAAGTGAAATCTTGATTATAAGTTTAAAGCACTCTCGCTTCTCAGCAAAAAGGTCCTGGGTTCGAATCCCAGTCGGAACAGGGCCTTTCTGAGTGGACTTTGCATGTTCTCCCTGTGTCTGCGTAGGTTTCCTCCGGGTACTCCTGTTTCCCTTACCACTAAAAACATGTACAACAGGTCTGGTATGCGCCTCCTGTACTGGCGACCCCGCTCTCTGTGTGGAGAGAGAGGATGAATGCCAAAAATTGTAAACTGCTTTGTGACTCTGGTCTGTGAAAGGTGCTATATAAATAAAGATTACTTACTTACTTCTTACTATGTAAAATTTCGAAATTAAATTTATTCAGTGTTTCATTGCTGATCCTTTTCCTCAGTGCGCTCTCGATAAATCAGCAAAAATACTGCAGATTCGGATTCTGGATCGGTCTGGATGCAGAAAAGAGAACCTTTTAGCTGAGATCTGAAAGGTACTCTACATTAGCTCTACTAGTTTTTAAGAAATCCAACTTTTATTCAAACTCTTTCCCAAGTATGAATTCACCAGTGTGACTCCAGAAACCTCTTTCTGTAAACAAGCAAATATGAACAAACTGGACGCCTTCTCACTTCTGCAGCAGGTCGCGGGAGAGAGCACAGGGCCAGGCTCAGGGCAGGGCACCGGAGATATAGCAAAATGAAAAGTTATTGGAACAAGCCGACAAGCCTCCCCCTCGAGGCCTCAGCAAGACAGCGACTCTCCTGCCCAGACACGACCCGCTCGGAGCAGAGAATCCCAGAGAGCAGCCATGAAGGACTGTACACGCCGAGCCACGCAGACAAAGAAGCATACTTTCCAGTGTCTCCCATCCTTAATGAGGTCGAGCCCCCGGCGTTAACCTGTTATCGGAAAACCGTGTCAGGAAATTGCAAAGGAAGAAATTGGGGGGATTTGGAGAAAAAGCAGAATGAGACTGAAACGGCCAGTAGGAATATAAACGAAAAAGAGTGGGGGGGGAGACTGGCAAATGCTGTAAAGGATAGAGTGGCAGGTGAGGGTGACAACACGCGTACATGGCTTCTTGGAACAGGGGCAAAGGATTATGGGATATGGGACAAGGCACTAGGGATGCAGCAGCAGCAGCGGCAGTAAACAAGAGCTGTGGTTTGGGACTGGGAGATGAGGAAAATAGGGCACAAGGATGGGTGACTTGGCCAGAAAAGCCATTGCAGCACATGCAGAGTATAGACAGGCAGG